AATTCAAAATGGGAATTGACACAGTTACTTTTTGCTGATGATGCTGTGCTTATGGAGATTCTAAAGAAAAATTGCAAAGGTTAGTGGATGAGTTTGAGAATGTGTGTAAAGGTAGAAAGTTGAAAGTGAACATAGAAAAGAGTAAGGTGATGAGGGTATCAAATGATTTAGATAAAGAAAAATTGGATATCAAATTGGGGAGGAGGAGCATGGAAAAGTGAATGTTTTCAGATACTTGGGAGTTGACGTGTCGGCGGATGGATTTATGAAGGATGAGGTTAATCATAGATTGATGAGGGAAAAAAGGTGAGTGGTGCGTTGAGGTATATGTGGAGTCAAAAAACTTTTTCTATGGGGGCAAAGAAGGGAATTTTATGAAAGTATAGTAGTGCCAACACTCTTATATGGATGTGAAGCTTGGGTGGTAAATGCAGCAGCGAGGAGATGGTTGGAGGCAGTGGAGATGTCCTGTCTAAGGGCAATGTGTGGTGTAAATATTATGCAGAAAATTCGGAGTGTGGAAATTAGGAGAAGGTGTGGAGTTAATAAAAGCATTAGTCAGAGGGCAGAAGAGGGTTGTTGAGGGGGTTTTGGGTCATTTAGAGAGAATGGATCAAAGTAGAATGACATGGAAAGCATATAAATCTATAGGGGAAGGAAAGAGGGGTAGGGTCGCCCTCGAAAGGGTTGGAAAGAGGGGTAAAGGAGGTTTTGTGGGCGGGGGGCCCTTGGACTTCCAGCAAGCTTTGCATGAGCGTGTTAAGATAGGAGTGAATGGAGACGAATGATACTTGGGGACCTGACGATCTGTTGGAGTGTGAGCAGGGTAATATTTAGTGAAGGATTCAGGGAAACCGGTTATTTTCTTATAGTCGGACTTGAGTCCTGGAAATGGGAAGTAACAAGCCTGCACTTTAAAGGGGGGGTTTTTTGGGATATTGGCAGTTTGGAGGGATATTTTGTGTATCTTTATACGTATATGCTTCTAAACTTTTTGTATTCTGAGCACCTCTGCAAAAGCAGTGATAATGTGTGAGGTGTGGTGAAAGTGTTGAATGATGATGAAAGTATTTTTTTTTTTTGGGATTTTCTTTCTTTTTTTGGGTCACCCTACCTCGGTGGGAGACGACCAACTTGTTGAAAAAAAAAAAAAAAAAAAATTATAATATATTATATAATATATAAAATATATATATATATATAAAATATATTATATATATATATATAAATAATATTATATATATATATAATATAAAATATATATATAATTATATATATATAATATATATATAATATATATATAATATATATATAAATATATATATATATATAATATAATATATATATATATATATATATAATATATATATATATATATAATAATATATTATATATAATGGGGAGCCTTTAATTGAGCTTATGTGTAGAAAGAAATTTGGTAATAAGTAATACATATTTTATGAAAAAGAGATAAATAAATATACAGGGTATGATGTAGCACGTAATGAAAGTAGTTTGTTAATTATGTATTGGTGATAAAAGGTTGATGGGTAGGGTCCAGATGTACATGTTTATAGAGGGGCAACTGATATATCGGATCATTATTTAGTTGTAGCTACAGTTAGAGTAAGAAGGTAGATGGGAAAAGAGGAAGGTGGCAACAACAAGTAAGAGGGAGGTGAAAGTGTATAAACTAAGGGAGGAGGATGTTCGGGCGAGATATAAGCGACTATTGGCAGAAAGGTGGGCTAGTGCAAAGATGAGTAGTGGGGGGGTTGAAGAGGGTTGGAAATAGTTTTAAAAATGCAGTATTAGAATGTGGGCAGAAGTTTGTGGTTATAGGAGGGTGGGGGCAGGAGGGAAGAAGTGATTGGTGGAATGATGAAGTAAAGGGTGTGATAAAGAGAAAAAGGTAGCTTATGAGAGGTTTTTACAATAGCAGAAGTGTTATAAAAGAAGAGCAGAGTATATGGAGAGTAAATGAAAGTTGATTGAGAGGGTGAGAGAGTGCCAAAAGGAGAGCAGATGATAGAGTGGGAGAGCATGTCAAGAAAATTTTAATGAAAATAAGAGAAAAATTTGCGAGTGGTCTATACAAGTTAAGAAAGCCTAGGGTAAAGTTGGATTTGTCAGTTTAAAAACAGAGTAGGGAAGTGGGAGTTAGTAGATGGGGAGAGGGAGGTATTAGGTAAGATGGCGAGATTTTTTGAGGAAATTTTAACTGTTGAGGAGAAAGGAGGGCGGTAATTTCATGCATGGCAAGGGAGGTCTTACTATCTTAGGAGTGAAGAAGAGCAGAATGTAAAGTGTGTGGAGGTACGTGATGGCATTACGTAGAATGAAAGGGGGTAAAGCAGTCTGGAACTGATGGTAGGATCATGACTGAATGTTAAAGCATGGGGGGGTATAGTGTTGGAGTGGGTTGGTACTTTTGTTTAATAAATGTTATGGAAGTGGGGAAGGTTACTAGGGGATTGGCAGAGAGCATGTTGTCGTTCCTTTATATAAAGGGGAAGGGAATAAAAGAGATTGTAATAATTATAGAGAATAAGTTTATGAGTTATACCAGGAAAAGTATACGGATAGGGTTATAATTGAAAAGAATTGAGGGTAAGACAGGAATGTAGGTTGCGGATGAGCAAGGAGGCTTCAGAAGGGGGTAGGGGGATGTGTAGATCAAGTGTTTACATTTTAAGCTATATGTGAACAGTATTTAGATAAAAGAGTAGGAAAGTTTTATTGATTTTGGATTTTAGAAAAGGCATATGATTAGAGTGGATAGAGGAGCAATGTGGCGAAGTGCACAGTTTATGGAATAGGTGGTAAGTTTACTAAAATGCTGTTAAAGAGCTTTTTATGAGGATAGTGAGGCTCAGGTTGGGTGTGTAGATGAGCGGGAGATCACTCCCGGTAAAGTGGTCTTTGACAGAGATGTGTATGTCACTGGTGGTTTAATATATTATAGATGGGGTTGTTAAACGAAGTAATTGATAGGGTGTTTGGGTGAGGGTGGGATAAATTATGGGATAATCAATTCAAAATGGGAATTGACACAGTTACTTTTGCTGATTGTACTGTGCTTGTGGGAGATTCTAAAGAAAATTTGCCAACTAGGTTAGTGGGATGAGTTTGAGTAATGTGTTGTAAAGTAGAAAGTTGAAAGTGAACATAGAAAAGAGTAAGGTGATGAGGGTATCAAATGATTTAGGTTAAAGAAAATTGGATATCATATTGGGGAGGAAGTATGAAGATGTGAATGTTTTCAGATACTTGGGAGTTGAGTGTCGGCGGTATGGATTTATGAAGGAGAGGTGATCATAGAATTGTTGAAGGGGAAAAAAGTTGAGTGGTGCGTTGAGTTTCACTCATGTCTGGAGTCAAAAAAACATTATCTTGGAGGGCAAGAAGGGATGTATGAAAGTATTAGATAGTACCAACACTCTTATATGTGGTGTGAAGCTTGGGTGGTAAATGCAGCAGCGAAGAGACGTTGGAGGCAGTTGGAGATGTCATGGCTAAGGGGCAAGTTGTAGTGTGTACATATTATGCAGAAGAAAATTCATGAGTGTGGAAATTAGGAGATGTGTGGAGCTAATAAAAGTTTGTCAGAGGGCAGAAGAGGGGTTGTTGAGGTGGTTTGGTCATTTTAGAGAGAATGGATCAAGTAGAATGACAGGAAAGCATATATATTATATTGGGAAGGAAAGGAGGGGTTAGGGGTCGTCTCGAAAGGGTTGGAAAAAGAGGGGGTAAAGGTTGGGTTTGGGGCGAGGGGCTTGGATTCCAGCAATGCGTGCATGAGCGTAGTTAGATAGGGGAGTGGAATGGAGACGTATGAATGATACTTGGGGACCTGCGATCTGTTGGAGTGTGAGAAGGGTAATATTTAGTGAAGGGATTCATGGGGATAACCGGTTATTTTCGTATAGTCGGACTTGAAGTCCTGGAAAATGGGAAGTTACAATCGCCTGCTACTTTAAAGGAGGGGTTTTGGGGAAGTGGCAGTTTGGAGGGATATGTTGTGTATCTTTATACGTATATGGCTTCTAATGTTGAATTCTGAGCAACTCTGCAAAAGCTGTGATAATGTGTGAGTGTGGTTGAAAGTGATGAATGATGATGAATGTATTTTCTTTTTGGGATTTTCTTTCTTTTATGGGTCACCCTGCCTCGGTGGGAGACGGCGACTTGTTGAAAAAAAAAAATATATATATAAAATGGCAGAGGAAATCGTAGTTTCGAAGTTAGGAGGAGGTGCGGATTACCAAAACTGTTTGTCCAGAGGCAGAGGAAGGGTTTGTTGAGGTGGTTCGGACATGTAGAGAGAATGGAGCGAAACAGACTGACTTCAAGAGTTTATCAGTCTGTAGTGGGAAGGAAGGCGGGGTAGGGGTCAGCCTAGAAGGTTGGAGGGAGGGGGGGTTAAGGAGGTTTTTTTGTGTGAGGGGCTTGGACTTCCAGCAGGCATGTGTGAAGCATGTTTGATAGGAGTGAATGGAGACAAATGGTTTTAAATATTTGACGTGTGCTGTTGGAGTGTGAGCAAAGTACATTATGAAGGATTCATGGGAAAACCGGCAGGCCGGACTTGAGTCCTGAGGAGATGTGAAGTACAGTGCCTGCACTCTGAAGGAGGGGTGTTAATGTTGCAGTTTAAAAACTGTAGTGTGAATCACCCTTCTGTCAAGGCAGTGATGGAGTGAATGATGGTGAAAGTTTTTCTTTTTCGGGCCACCCTGCCTTGGTGGGAATCAGCCAGTGTGATAATAAAAAATAATAAAAAAATTATATGTACTGTACAGTGTAGTGTATGCTGAGTGAGGATGAACATTTCATGTAAATTTTTGGGGCTGGTATCTGTTACCTCATTGTTTGGATGTACACAAAACAGCGAAAGTTTTCAGTTTAAACTTTGTATTGCTCATACATTTTTTATATTAAATCTGATTATTTCATGTTTCACATACTGCATTCCATATTTTACAATGTCTTGTTTACAGAACGTGAGCATTCATACCCTGAAGAAATTTGGTGCAAGAGTAACAAACGATGAATCTCGTGTGGTCCTTCCCGTTGCCAACAGACAAGGAGAGGTCATAGGCTTCGAAAGTATTTCTCTCCTCCACTATTTTCCTCAGGTAAAAACTAAAATTTATAGATTTTTTCATATAAGAATGACTAAAATGATGTAAATAATTTTTGTATATGAATATTGTGTAAAATGATGTTTTAGCTTTAGTATTGATCTGCCATGGGCTGTCCTCTGCATTCATCACACTACCATAACTTCCATTAACCATAATGGTAACTTGTTTAAATTGTCAGTGTCCACCCCTCCATGTGGGTATACATGTTGTTACCCCTCCATGTGTGTGTATACTTGTTGACACCCCTCCATGTGTGTATATATGTTGATACCCCTCCATGTGTGTATACATGTTGACACTCCTCCATGTGGGTATACATGTTGACACCCCTCTGTGTGTATACATGTTGACACCCCTCCATGTGGGTATATATGTTGACACCCCTCCATGTGGGTATATATGTTGACACCCCTCCATGTGGGTATACATGTTGACACCCCTCCATGTGGGTATACATGTTGACACCCCTCCATGTGTGTGTATACATGTTGACACCCCTCCATATTGGTATATATGTTGACACACCTCCATGTGGGTATACATGTAGACACTGCTCTCTGCTTAGGCTTACTAGTGTACAATACAGCCTCTCCTCGCTTAATGATGTACTCGTTTACCAGTGACTCGGACTTACGACAGGCTCTCTGACCAGTATTCACACCTAAATAATGTATATTAGAGCTGATTTCCTCTATTCTGTTTGTTACAATATACAGTACACTGCTGTATAAACATTTAAAAATATATTAAAATGTTATAAATGGTGCAAAGGTGACGTTAAAATAGTATCAAAGATGGTTGCCCCAACCCACTATCATTATGTAGCCCGTTTAGCAACAAAATCTTTACCGATGTAGTCCTAGGAATGGAACTCTGTCATTAAGTGAGGAGAGACTGTACTTTATCCTACATTTCAGTTTTGATTTTCTTGTTCTTCCACTCATTATTGCACCAGTGCATTTACAGTCTAAGAACTTTTAACTCACCTCAGCTTATATCAAAGCCCAGGCCAGTTTAAGGAGACTTCTCCTTATATCTCAACACACTGAAAGTGCTACCACTCGACTGCAAGCCACCAAAATTGAATTCAATTAATATTTTGAGGAACTTTTAAATGTTCATGAAGAAATGGAGACAGTAATTTCATGCACTGGCCAGAGAAGTATAACATCTTTTAGGAGTGAAGAAGAGCAGGATGTGAGTGTGAGGGAGGTGCGTGAGGCATTACGTAGAATGAAAGGTGGGTAAAGCAGCTGGAACTGATGGGATCATGACAGAAATGTTAAAAGAGGGGAAGATATAGTGTTGGAGCGGTTGGTATTTTTGTTTAATAAATAAATATACAAGGTATGATATAGCACGTAATGAAAGTACAGTGGACCCCCGGTTAACGATTTTAATCCGTGCAAGAGGGCTCATCGTTATGCGAAATAATCGTTATGCGAATGAATTTTCCCCATAAGAAATAATGGAAATAAAATTAATCCGTGCAAGACGCCCAAAAGTATGAAAAAATTTTTTTTTTACCACATGAAATGTTAATTTTAATACACACAAACTGAAAAAGGCATGCACAATTACATGACACTTACTTTTATTGAAGATCTGGTGATGATTGATGGGATGGGGGGGGGGGGAGAGCATTATCTTCTTATGTTTAGAAGGGGAATCCCCTTCCATTAGGACTTGAGGTAGCAAGTCCTTTTCTGGGGTTACTTCCCTTCTTCTTTTAATGCCACTAGGACCAGCTTGAGAGTCACTGGACCTCTGTCGCACAACAAATCTGTCCATAGAGCTCTGTACCTCCCGTTCCTTCAAGACTTTCCTAAAATGGGCCATAACATTGTCATTGAAATAGTCACAAGCACGGCTTGCAACAGCTGTGTCAGGGTGATTTTCATCTATAAAGGTTTGCAGTTCAACCCACTCTGCACACATTTCCTTAATCTTTGAAGTAGGCACAATGGATTCCACAACTGGCATAGGCTTCTCAGGGTTAGCCCCAAACCCTTCAAAATCTTTCTTAATTTCCATACTAATTCTCACCCTTTTTACCACAGGGTTGGCACTAGAAGCTTTCTTGGGGCCCATGGTCACTTATTTTCCAGAAACAGCACCGAAAATACTGTAATAATACGAAATATTCCGAGTGTATGCTTGGATGTTACCGCGGAGGCTGGCTGGTAAACAATGGGACGGAGCGGCACATGTGAGGCTGGCTGAGGGCACATTGGACGCGTCTCGGACGAAAATCGGTATGCGGGTTTTTAATCGGTATGCGCGGCAAAAATTTTGCGATAAAAGTAATCGTTATGTGGAAAAATCGCTATGCGATGCCATCGTTATGCGGGGGTCCACTGTAGTTTGTTAGATTATGTATTGGTGGATAAAAGGTTGATGGGTAGGCTCCAGGATGTACACATTTATAGAGGGGCAACTGATATATCGGATCATTATCTAGTTGTAGCTACAGTTAGAATAAGAGGTAGATGGGATAAGAGGAAAATGGCAACAACAAGTAAGAGGGAGGTGAAAGTGTATAAACTAAGTGAGGAGGAAGTTCGGGTGAAATATAAGCAACTATTGGCAGAAAGGTGGGCTGGTGCAGGTATGAGTAGTAGGGGGGTTGAAGAGGGTTGCAGTAGTTTTAAAAATGCAGTATTAGAATGTGGGGCAGAAGTTTGTGGTTATAGGAGGGTGGGTGCAGGAGGAAAGAGGAGTGATTGGTGGAATGATGAAGTAAAGGGTGTGATAAAAGAAAAAGGTAGCTTATGAGAGGTATTTACAAAGCAGAAGTGTTATAAGAAAAGTAGAGTATATGGAGAGTAAAAGAAAGGTGAAGAGAGTGATGAGAGAGTGCAAAAGGAGAGCAGATGATAGAGTGGGAGAAGCACTGTCAAGAAATTTTAATGAAAATAAGAAAATTTTTTTATAGGTAGTAGGTTGGTAGACAGCAACCACCCAGGGAGGTACTACCATCCTGCCAAGTGAGTGTAAAACGAAAGCCTGTAATTGTTTTAAATGATGGTAGGATTGCTGGTGTCTTTTGTCTGTCTTATAAATATGCAAGATTACAGGTATGTCTTGCTACTTCTACTTACACTTAAGTCATACTACACATACATGTACATGTTTATTTATACACACTCATCTGAGTTTTCTTTGATTTTATCTTAATAGTTCTTGGTCTTATTACTTTTCCTTTTATATCCATGGGGAAGTGGAATAAGAATCTTTCCTCCGTAAGCCATGCGTGTTCTAAAAGTCAACTAAAATGCCGGGAACAATGGGCTAGTAACCCCTTTTCCTGTAAAGATTACTAAAAAGAATAAGAAGAAAATTGTCAAAGTGGGAAGTCTGAATGTGCGTGGATGTTGTGCAAATGATAAGAGATGATTGTGGATGTTATGAATGAGAAGAAGCTGGATGTCCTGGCTTTAAGTGAAACAAAGCTGAAAGGGGTGGGAGAAGTTTCAATGGAGAGGAATAAATGGGATTAGGTCAGGGGTTTCAGATAAAGTTAGAGCTAAAGAAGGAGTAGCAATAATGTTGAAGGATAAGCTATGGCAGGAAAAGAGGGACTATAAATGTATTAATTCAAGGATTATGTGGAGTAAAATAAAGATTGGATGTGAAAAGTGGGTTATAGTAAGCGTGTATGCACCTGGAGAAGAGAGAAGTGTAGAGGAGAGAGAGAGATTTTGGGAAATGTTGAGTGAATGCATGGGAAGTTTTGAATCAAGTGTGAGAGTAATGGTGGTTGGGGATTTCAATGCTAAAGTGGGTAAAAATGTTATGGAGGGAGTAGTAGGTAAATTTGGGGTGCCAGGGGTAAATGTAAATGGGGAGCCTTTAATTGAGCTATGTGTAGAAAGAGATTTGGTAATAAGTAATACATATTTTATGAAAAAGAGGATAAATAAATATACAAGGTATGATGTAGCACGTTATGAAAGTAGTTTGTTAGATTATGTATTGGTGGATAAAAGGTTGATGGGTAGGCTCCAGGATGTACATGTTTATAGAGGGGCAACTGATATATCGGATCATTATTTAGTTGTAGCTACAGTTAGAGTAAGAGGTAGATGGGAAAAGAGGAAGGTGGCAACAACAAGTAAGAGGGAGGTGAAAGTGTATAAACTAAGGGAGGAGGAAGTTCGGGTGAGATATAAACGACTATTGGCAGAAAGGTGGGCTAGTGCAAAGATGAGTAGTGGGGGGGTTGAAGAGGGTTGGAATAGTTTTAAAAATGCAGTACGTATTAGAATGTGGGGCAGAAGTTTGTGGTTATAGGAGGGTGGGGGCAGGAGGAAAGAGGAGTGATTGGTGGAATGATGAAGTAAAGGGTGCGTTAAAAGAGAAAAAGTTAGCTTATGAGAGGTTTTTACAAAGCAGAAGTGTTATAAGAAGAGTAGAGTATATGGAGAGTAAAAGAAAGGTGAAGAGAGTGATGAGAGAGTGCAAAAGGAGAGCAGATGATAGAGTGGGAGAGGCACTGTCAAGAAATTTTAATGAAAATAAGAAAAAATTTTGGAGTGAGTTAAACAAGTTAAGAAAGCCTAGGGAAAGTATGGATTTGTCAGTTAAAAACAGAGTAGGGGAGTTAGTAGATGGGGAGAGGGAGGTATTAGGTAGATGGCGAGAATATTTTGAAGAGCTTTTAAATGTGGAGGAAGAAAGGGAGGCGGTAATTTCATGCACGGGTCAGGGAGGTATACCATCTTTTAGGAGTGAAGAAGAGCAGAATGTAAGTGTGAGGGAGGTACGTGAGGCATTATGTAGAATGAAAGGGGGTAAAGCAGCTGGAACTGATGGGATCATTACAGAAATGTTAAAAGCAGGGGGGATATAGTGTTGGAGTGGTTGGTACTTTTGTTTAATAAATGTATTAAACAGGGAAAGGTACCTAGGGATTGGCAGAGAGCATGTATAGTCCCTTTATATAAAGGGAAAGGGGACAAAAGAGATTGTAAAAATTATAGAGGAATAAG